CTAGCTTGTCGCATCAAAGGACGAATTGATGGTCAGCGGACCAGATCCCGCCAATAAAATATGTATTTTTTTAATATATATTTAATTATATGAATATTTTTTAAGTTTTTATTTATTAATTAATATTTTTATTAGATAAATTAAAAAAATATTATATTTATATATTAAAATAACTAATTATAATCAATAATTTAAATTTAATTGATTATTTTTTATAATTTAAATCATAATATATTTACATGTCTCAATAACATAACACAACAAATATAATATTTTAAATTATAATCTTTTTTATTTTTATTTTAATATATAAATATATTTTTAAAGCGAGTTAACTCACCCTAAACCCACTGAATTGACGAACTAGACATACGAGTCAAAACAGGCTAAATCACCAATCCACCTTGCCATTTTGTTGACAGGTTGACGGGTCGACATGTCAGGCTTAACTCATTGTGACATCCCTATTGGAAGCACATTCCTTCAGAAACAATTACACTTGAATAAGAAGATTGTCCATGTTCGTCAACACTTCTAATAAGTGGAGAATCTAGCATATTAACTTCTTTATCATCGTGTACATGATTATCTTCTTCGTCAAAATCATGAACAATATCTCATATAATCGATTTTTGTTCATTTGAACCTAACCTATAACATAAAATTTATCTATATTACAATGTTATTTAAAGCTAATCTCGTTGTTTTGTGATTATATTAACAGCGTGTTCTTCAATTACCTCACACTTCTAATTTATATGGCCAATTACACTTACTATTCTTATTTCTTTAAATTATCCATCACTAGCCTATTGCTAATTACATAACACCCTACCTTTCACTAACTTGTTGCATTGCTGCTTTACCTTTTGTTGATGTACTCGTGCCTTTAATTACAGTACCTATGTCAGTGAAAGCTTGTCCTTTATCATCAAAGACATGCTAAGGAGCAAGTTTTGGAGAAGCACTAATGACGTACAATGTAAAACAAGTTTGTTCTGAAATAGTGTCATGTCACATGACTTTGTACTAAGATTGTGTTAAGTGAGACGATTTCAATATTGAAATCGTGCTAGATCAAATGATTTCACTATTTGGTTAAAATCAAAATTATGTTACATAGCATGACGTTAGAGTAACTCACATTGAATTCTTTAGAAATATTACTATATTTACTATTGATTATTTATTATTATATATTATATATATATATATATATATATATTAGGTATAATAATTTATTTTATTTAATATAGTTTTATTATAAGAATTTATTCTATTTTTTTACACTTATCAATATATTTTTTACAACAATGACAGTGAACCAACATTTTCTCATTAATATGTCCTTATTACGTTTGCAACATAAACACATGACAAATGCCATATAAGACGGAAGTGAAAAAGTATTACTTCATTCATAACGCCATGTAATATGATTAACCAAAAATTCTAATACGTTAGATGAACAAGTACTGAATGTCATATATCAAGCAGGTTTTGGACCTTTACAGAAAATTTTAAATATCGATGTTAATCATCACTTAATAACAACATTAGTCGAGAGATGAAAATCAGAAACTCATACATTTCACCTTCTCATTGGAGAAGTAACTGTATTAGAAGATATTGTTTTACAACTTGGTCTTTCCAATTAATGAAAAGTTTGTCACTAGTCTCAACAGTGGTGATTTGACAGGTCTTTGTCAACCTTTATTAAGGTCACATCCACCCAAAGGAGTGGTAAAAGGAAACATAATTAAGCTTTCCTAGTTATATGTAGTCTTCCAACAATTTTTTTATGACATAGACAATAATGTTATTACTTAACATGCTCAAGTGCACATGTTATGCATCATAGGAAGGTTATTGATGTATGATACATCAATTTCTAGAATACACTTGATGTATCTTTTACTTTTGCAAGATGTAACTATTGTATCTAACTAAAGTTGAAGATCTATTATATTTGCTTCACTTTATCGAGCATTAGATCATAGAGTTGACCATCATCAAGAAAATATTGGAGGTTATATGTAATGTTAGACATAAGACCAAATTACATGTCATTGTCTACTTGATGAAGATTTAAATGATAAATAGGTTGAAACATGATTTACTTTTTTCCTAGCAAGAAGTTATAACCTTAGATTTTTTTTTTCTACAATATAATATACATAAAATTGCAAAATTGTTTTTGAACTTAGGTGATCTCAACCTAGACAAATGTCAAGTACCCTTACATAACTCATACATATAATACGTTACACATTAGATCAACAATAACCAAATGAGATATTACTACAACATATTTGTTATTAATGCATACATTTTTTATTTTAAAATAATATATGTACTTAGTTCTACTCTTTACATGAACTCCTTGTTATAGAAGTGTCTTAAAATAACTAATAAACATTAAAGTCTCTCTTGCATCATATTTTATCGTACTTATTATTTGTTTTGCAACTATTGAGTTTTATTAAATTGATTGAATGATAAGACAATTTGGTTTACATCAAAATATTTCTCATGATCCAATAAACCTAAATTAATTTCATAAAATAGATATGAGGGACATAACAAATATATTTTAATCACAATATCATCAACCATAAATCACGTTATGAAATGACTAACAATCAATTAGTTGAAAATTAACAAAATAGACATTTACGCTAAAAATATCATAAATGTAATGATATTTTTAATACATAATACAATATATTTTCTCTTAATAAGTATAACATACATATGATAAAATAAGTGTTAATATTATGTATTATAATTGGTTACATTATTGTTCAAATATTAATTTTAAATATTTTTTACATGAGAAACAACACCACTAAATATCTCAATAAACATTTATATGTTAATCCATTTATTTATCAACAATTATGATCAACCTAGACTATTTTATAATTATATGAATCAACTTTAAAATCTCATTGGAGAAAATCATTTTAGAAGACATATCTCTTATATATTAATTTAATATGATAAATCAAATATTTTTCTCATATATTTCATCATATATTTCATGACACAACTGTCAACATATTATATTAGATTATTATAGATTAATATCTACACCTCAAAATTCAAATCAAAATCAAGAAGAGGAAAACAATAATAATAACATACACAAAAAAAAAAACAAATCTCAACAAAATGTAAAATCTAAAAAATCCCCTTAAAACCACTTATTAAACATATTATCAACACTAAATGAATTTTAATTTAAACCATATAAATATATTTCAATTTGTTTATATATTGATATATTTTTTATTATAAAAACAATCTTATTACCTACCACTATTTATAAAATAAAAAATAATTAAACTTATACTATCAAGATTAAAAAAAAAAGCATTTCACATAACACATCTTCAATATTAAATTCGTATCATGTGTTAATATTTCTTAATAAAATAAAAAAAATTAAAACAAAGAATTTTGTACTATGCAACATGATTTTTCTTGGACAAATCAACCCTTTCCGTTAAAAAATCTTTATCAAATTTGAAATAATGTAAACAATACATGTAAAGTAAAACAAATATGTAAACATTTACCTTTCACCGTAACTAAATATCGAAAGTATAAATCTTAGTTTGTTGAATTTCAATTATAAAAATCTTAGTTGGTAGTTATATTATAGGTGATTTGGTTTTGAGCATCCATTTTCAAACGGTATAATTTACCCCACTATATATAATTAAAATGTGCTCCTAAAACAGACTGGTTATTACATTTTGTCAGATATGCACTGAGATTATATTCAACATTCAGAAATTACAATTATCTTTGTATTGAAAAAGAGAGCAAAAGAACAGTATTAATTAACACAACAAACCCAATGTGAGTATAGATGGATTAAATGGCCAATAGTTAGATATTAAAAAAAAAAAAAAAAAACTGAAAACAGTAAACCGCCGAAGCCGTTTAATTCAATTTATCTGCTTCCACAGACGCTACACCACCGTTCTGCATTATCATTCCAAATACAACATTGACAGAAAAGGGCCACCTCATTTATTAACAAGCAACCCAAAATACACAATGTTTGCTTCCATTAATCAACACCACAGTAACATAAGTCCTGGGACCTATATAATTCCTGAGGGTGATTAATACCCATTAACAGTGTTTGATCTTGTGTAAATTAAGTTCGTTTCTATTTATTTACATTAAAGCTATAAACACACACTGAGAAATACTCGCTGGGAGTACCAAAACTATATGCAGCTTGCAGCTTGATCCTGGAGATTTCTAGAACTCATGGTGCACATCCAAATTGCACAGAAATTACATTGGCTGAACAAAATGCCCCATCTTGAAAACAAATGGCAACAAAACAGAACTACCACTATATTTCCTTGGCCTACATGGTAGTATCATGTATCTCTGGAAATAACCCACCAAACTGATCCAGACAAGACAATCACATGCAGCATACTTCAAACAGGTGTGCTTTCATCATATCCAAGTTCGTAGTAGGTGGCAAAGACACAATAGGGTAGAAAATCCCTTTGTCTCATTGCAGGATAACTCATTAACCTTATATAGCCTTCACAATTCTATGAACAAATTATATGAAAAGAAATAAGAACATAGACAGAGAGACTTAATACCCACAACAAAATAATCCTCCAAAAATTTATTTTAGGAGTGTCATGCGGTTTGAAAGCAAGGTGTGGCTTTCTAAGATTTCAACTTATTCATTGTATATGATAAAGGACATTAGTCACAGACAGCATCAAACCAGACATGAGTCATAGACAACACTAAAACCAGACATCAGTCATAGACAACACTCAAAGGACATTATTGCACAACGGCGGATGCAAAAAGCATTAAACAAAATGCAGAAGTAGAAAACAATGCAGCCACAATATCCAATAATGTCAATTATCCATTAATCTTTCCATTCTAATGAATACTAAATCAAAATCTGCTAACTCTATAACGCAGGGAATACAATGGCGAAAATCTCAAATTCCAAAACCGAAAACTGCACGTATCCTCTGGAAAATAAGATCCCGCCACCCCCTTTCGGTGTTCTCCACCACAGTTGCATTCCCATACCTGTTTCACAAGAAACCAAAGCCACGTTCAACAAATCAAACCACACAAAACAAAACAAAAAACAGAACTTCTACAAACCAATCCCAACGAAACAAACACTCACCTATCCTCTTCAGGCACATCAGTGTGAGTCAGCTTCACAACGGTAACACCCGCTTCAGGCTCCTCAAACACAAGCCTTACCTGCAAACACACGCATTGTCATATTGTAATTTAGGTCAATTTTATTTTGTTTTTTCCCTAATAATTAACCTAAAAGGCAAAACACTTACTGTGGATTGAACACCATCGTTCCAGCTTCCAAACCTCCACTTCTGCACAATCAACTTACCCTCCTGCAACTCCAAATTAGTTCCACACACGGATCCATCAAAAATGCTAAACTCACCACCAACCTCTTTACTAATCCTCGCATTGCTCTGGGTGAAACCCTTCCACCTATTCTCATCCATCAATATCTCAAACAAATCTTTAGCTCTGCAATTAAACCTCTCCGTCATGCTAATACTCTTCACTCCCTTCTTCTCCTTCTTCTTCTTCGGCCCCGCCGAACTCTCTTTCTTCGGCCCAGCCACAGTCGTCGGCGACGGCGAAGGCGAAGGAGACGGTGATGGAACTGGCGCTGTCTTCTTGTTGTCCAATTCATCCTTAACAGGACCACCGTTGGCCATGCTCTGCACCCAAACCCTAACCTTCTCCAAGATCAAGGGCTTCCCCTTGGAAAACATTGCGTCCTTGATCCTCTTCCCTACCGGTCCTTCGTCGTTGACGGTGATTTTGAGTTCGGGATCCTCGTCAGCGTTCTCGTCGGAGATGTATGGGATTTCAACGGTGCCGTCGACTTGGAGAAGCGAAGCTCCGTTGGAGTCCTTGGCCTCGCCCTGCCAATTGAGCGTGAGGCTGATCTCGTAGCCGGGGATGATTTTACCCTTGCGAACGTTAACATAGGCCTCACCATCGAGGGAGCGAAGCGAGGTGGTTTTGACGAAAAGGTTTCCCTCGCCGTCGAGAATTGTGAGGTTGGAGAGAAGAGAAGAGAAGAAGGTTCTGGACCATTCGAGACAGTTGGTCTCGGACCAGTGCCAGTTGTGGACGTTGGTTCCGTCGGGGCGGTCCTCCACGATCCAGCGTTTGTCGCCCTCGCCGTAACGAGCCATGGTGGTTGTGTCTAAGAGTTTCGATTGTGTTGTTAATGAGTAAATGAATGGTTAAAGAAGGGTTTTCAATCTTATGGTTATATAGTAAGTGTTGAGTGTGGAAAGGTCTAGAGTGAAAAGAGAAGAAGGGTCTAGAAAGATACGAAGCATGATTATAATTGTTTACTCCTACAAAATTCAAATATCAAATCTTTTTTCTGTCTTTATATTTTATACCTGCCTTTTATATTTCTTCACTATTAAGACAAAAAAAAAAAAGGACTTTAAATTTATATCTTATTGTTAATCTCCATACACTATTTCTCAGTAATTTGTTATTACTTGTTTAACCAAAATAATTTTGATAGAAAGTAAATAATTTTTTATAACTTTAAATTCCTTACACACTATTTAAGTCCTCATGTGGAAATTGGAAAAAATAAAATAAAAAACAGTGTTTATAATAAACATAAAATATTTTGTTAACTAAATAAGGGATATAAATTGTTTTATAAATCTAATTTGACTCAGACTGTTTATGTGAGAATTATTGAAATCATTATTATTTATATACTTATATATTTTAACTATAAAAAATTAGAATATTAATGGTACATATTATATTTTCATTCCGTCATTCATATAAATAAGTATTTTTATCTTTTTGTTTTTTAATTTTTAAGAGTGACAATTATTTATCTCTTTTTTCTTCTATCTCTTAAAGAATATTAAATGGGGATATTCACGAGTATAAATATCTATGATTGCAAATCAATATTTTGGATTAGGCATTTTAAGTGTTTTGATGAAATTCAATCCATTATGTTGTATTCATTGGATTGGGATATTAGATTTTCGTGTAGAATCTATAAATTTAAGACAACTCATCAATTATATAATATATTTTAAATTTAATTAATTATTTGTATGTGTTTTATAAACATAAAAATTAAGAAAAAGAGAGGTAAAAAAAAATATATTTTTTCTTTAATAACCTTTATAATTTCGCATATGAATATGGTGTGTGAAGTTTTGAAATGGAAAAGTAGAGAGGAAGCATGTCTTTGGCACGCTCCATCCCCACCAAAACGCCATTGGAGCGCAAGCCAACTCCTCCATCCTCTCACTCTGACGTATTTGCCTCGTTCCGTTTCCGCGGCACCGTAATGAAGCGCAACCAGCGGTTCAAACGAGTCGCCAAATCCAGATTACCGGTTCGGAGTTCGCTCCCAGTCAAACCCAACCCATCACCACCACCACCAGACATTTCTCCCGTTGAAATGAAAATCTTGCCATGCGATTTCTTCCAAATCGACGCGCTGGACCTTGCCCCACGTTTACTGGGAAAGTTTCTTCGCCGAGACGACGTCGTTCTTCGTATCACGGAGGTATACTATTCCCTTTTCAACGCAAGGAACTTTGTCGTTTAGCTTTATTCTGATTTAACGCGGAATCAATGGCAGACAGGTTGAAGCGTATAGACCGAACGACTCGGCTTGCCACGGTCGTTTTGGTGTCACTTCAAGAACTGCCCCTGTCGTAAGATTGCACCTTTATTCTCACCTTGAATCTCTAAACGCTAATTAAGGTTGTCTAGAGTAACATTAGTGTTTGTTTGTGTCTATTTTAAAGTTTGGAGCTGGTGGGCATGCGTATGTTTATCTTTGCTATGGTGTTCACATGATGCTGAATGTGGTTGCGGACAAGGAAGGTGCTGGAGCTGCTGTTCTGATACGCTCTTGTGCTCCGATTAGTGGTAATGCGAAATACTGTATGTTGCTTATTCATAGTTACTATGAAATAAACCATTCTATTGCTTATTGTGTAGTAACTCGAAGGCCACTTCGTTAGATTATTGGGTGTTATTGATTCAGTTTATGGATGAATAAGGGGATATACTACGATTAGGTATTCTTGGTCGTTCTAGTGACTTCTTAAGAAGGGAAAGAAACAATATTGGAGAGATAACTAAGTATCGGTCTTGTCGCCTGCTAAAAGAATAAATCATTACAAGCTTGTAAATTCTTTTGGCTTAATTCAGTTGTGTACAAACTGAAGACAGTATCACACTGTGGCTATCAATAGAAGGGTGTGGATAAAATGTATGTGCCACAACTCTTGTTAATCTAAAGCAAAAAGCTGGATGGCCAGTTGAAAAGGTGAGGGTTTTAATATAAGTTCAGCAGTGTCGTTCAAACTTAACTTGCAATAACATATCATTCTTTTTTTTCCTTTCTCGGTCCTCATCAGATCAGTAACCCACTAACATTTCAGTTAATTATTGAAGAAAGACTACAATCCTCTGTACTATTATTCATTATAAGTAAATCTTGCCTCCACTAACTAAAACTTACATATTAACAACTAATTTTTACCCATAAAAATATTCACAGGATTGGACGTCATTCAACAGCGCCGAGGTCTGAAAACTGAGAAACCTATCCTTCTTACCGGTCCTGGGAAGGTTAGTTCTTTTCCTTCCCTCCTTTTCATCTGTCTTAGATGCTTGAGTAAAAATGTTTCGGTTAAATGTTTTGCACTTCCATTTGACTTGTTACGTTAAATATATCTACATTCTAGTGTTCAACCATAAACTATTCGATATAGGCAGTTTTTGGCTCATTAAATAGTAAGGTGCAAATTAGATGCAACGACGAGATGGAAAAGGTAACCGTGAGTGTTGAAAGCATACGGAGAGGGCTAACTGTACATATAAGTGAATGAGTGAGTGAGATTGGATTCTAGGCTCAATATAGCTTGTCGTCTTTCTTGACAAAATATAATTAAGATTTTTATGCATGCTTGTTGATCTGTGAAAAAACTGTTGTCCAGTTAATTAAGTTTATTATCTAGGCTGTTTCTGAAATAGGTTGACTAAGCATTGTGCTTCGACTCCTTTAAGTGTTCAGAAATGGCACATGATGAATTAGAAAGGTTCAACATTTGTGCAATTTTATTTCTATTTGCACAAAATTCTGGTATATAACAGAATTAATATTTCTAATGAGCATGATGATAAGTGAGATTCTTGCTAGAAGGGAAAAGTTAGGGAGGATAGAAGGGTAGGTGGAAAACGGGTTTAACAATTAGTTTTGTTCCTCTTCTTGTCCATTTTTAATGCTTTATCTAAAGGACTTCAAATATCGGTGGAAGTGACAATTTGTTCATCTGAAATGTCCCTGCACATCTGAAAGTCTCTTTAGTTTTTGAATTAAGAATAATCTGAATGTTTTCCCAAATCTTAGGTTGGTCAGGCATTGGGTCTAACGACAGAGTGGTCCAACCATCCTCTCTATACACCTGGTAAGCTTACAAGTTATAACTCAAGCGTGCCAAATGTAAAATGGACAGATGGATATCCATTTGTTTTTGAAAACTGAGAAGCGTGTGTGTGATGCAGGTGGTTTGGAAGTCTTAGATGGTCCAGAGCCGGAAAACATATTGGTAGGTCCACGTGTTGGTATCCAATACGCTTTGCCAGAGCATGTCAATGCCTTGTGGAGATTTGCCATTGCAGGCACCCCTTGGATTAGTGCTCCCAAAAATACTCTCAGACCTCCCTTGTAGTGAAATAGCAGTTTAAGGGAGAAAAATGGTTTCATGATGATTAACAGATTACGTAAATCACCTTAGAAATAGATTAGAGATGTTTCTTCTATCACCGAAGCATATGCATGTACAGCTGTTTTAAGATAATCAATGCCTTATTTCTTAGTAGTGGCAAGTACTACGAAAACTCAACTTTATTTTAAGTTATGGCAAATTTTTATCCTAAAAACTATCATAAATACTTATATTAGTTACCGACACAGATCTTTTATACACTACTATTAGTTAAAATTATTTCACGTAATTATTATTTTAAAAAAATATTTAACCAATAGGAGACAAAATAACTTAAGCTATTCGCCTTTTTTCTTTTTAAATTTTAGATATGAATGTTAATGGACATTGACTGTATATTTTTGGATGTATAATTATACTTATACCAAAGTTGTATGATGTATTTTGTTGAGATTTTTACTTGAATTATGAATCTGTAAAATGTTTTTATTTTTGTAAAATTACGATATATTTTACTTAAACCAAAGTTGTATGATGTATTCGTTTATTGTTTTTATCATTATTATTATTATTACATGTACTTTCACCAACTTAAGCATCGTGTATTTAAAACATTGGTTATCTACTTTCTACCCTGTTAAGAAAGATTTGTACAAAAAAAGTATAGAAAACAAATATTACAGCATTTTATGAAAAATTAAAACGGGAGTCACGTAATGCTGACTCGATTGGCTTAAAAGAGATATTGCAAGTTACTGGTACGATTTTCAGTAGTTCAACCAATAAGACATTTATTTCTTACTTTATCTCTCTCTCTCTCTCTCTCTCTTAATCCCTATATATTACTTTGGGCACAATTTAATCCGACAAAAATTCGGTGGAAAAAACGGAAAAATCAAATAAAAGATTATTCTGAAGGAAATAATAAGATTGATGTCATGACCATTATTTTTTGTATAAATATCGGCAAATTTGAGAACTTGTAGAAAAGGCAGGCAAATCTTTGGTGGAACTTTAAAAATATGTTTAGTTTAAAATAAAAGGAGAATATAAACATTTTACGTTTAAAAACCTATATAAAATGTTTATAAAAATTAATAATGTTCGGCACTTAAGATTTATACAAACGTAACTTAATTTTTCTTAAATAATAAAATTAAAAACTATTTGTTAAAAATTAACATTTTCTGTCTTGAAAAGCATCTCCCACAGTTATCCTGAGAAAAAAGCAACAGTAAAATAATTATATTATTCCATTTTTAATATTCCTCGAAGTGAAACAAACGGTATATATTAATAAACTTAAAAGCAATGAATAATATCAGAGAACTAAGAAGATAAGCAAATAATACACCTTTTTAAAAAAGCTTTAAGTGATAGGAGGTACAAAGACAAACGATGTTTACCAGGTATTATAACTTCAAATAGTGACGATTTTAGTTTTAAATTCAAATCTTTTCCAACATCACCGGGAAAATATATATATATATATATATATATATATATATATATATATATATATATATATATATATATATATATATATATATATATATAAAATACAAAGCAAACAGCATTAACTTGAAGAGAAACAAAGAGAACCGATTTGCAGAGCCGTTAATATGTGAATATATGTTAAAGGTATATATGAGCTGTTACAGTATGAAGTGTTTATATTGATTACAACTGAAGTTATTTTCTTTAGGCACCCACTCAAAGGCTTAAATTACATTACGATCTGACAGAACACGTTCTCAGCTTCCAAATACAGTCCTACCTGTTACGTACCGTAATTATTTCATCCAAGGCTATACAGCATTTCATGGTGTTCATCTGTTGGTGGAGGCATTTACCGTCAATAGACATTCCTTTCACGTAAAGGAATAGGAATGATATTTTTTACACAATTGGCTGTGATGTAAAGGATATGTTTTGCGCAAGCAAAATACCAGAGAAAAACTAAAAAAGAGGCAACATATGTAGATATCAATGCAGATATGAATGGCATTTTTGTTAATTGGGTTCTTTTATATAAAATTTCAACAACAAAATATTAACCTCTCTTAATCTTTCTGAATGGTTTTACTTTCATCTAGCGTTTTTCTACCAGTACCTTTGGCCGTAATGGCTTACCCTATCTGACCAACCCTCCTAGTCAGGGTTTTTATTGGTCTTCTCCAGAATCTCCATACACTTTTACCATTGTCTTCTACAATAGGTATTATCTTAACTCTCATGAATTCATTCCTCTAAAATCCTATGTTGCATCCCACTCATTATATTAAATTATTTTCTTATTGGCCCTTTTCCACAACATCAGAGGTAAAATTTTCCCTTACGCTTGAGTAGTACTTTTTTGTTACAAATAATACTCAAGGCACTTTTCCAATTTCCACCTAGGATACGATTGATGAGCCTCTAGCTAAACTAACACTTGACCTTACTTCCACCACTTGAACAAAAAAGGCATGCGCCTCCAAAACTTATCTCCATGTCCACATCTCTCTCAAAGAGCATGCTTTTTAACACATCCACGACTCGTAGTTTACCCTTGAGTTGATACAGACTCAGTCGTTAGAAAACTTGAGTTGATTAGATCCGGTTGAGTTGATACAAACTCATAGTCGTTAGAAAACTTGAGTTGATTAGATCCGGTTGAGTTGATACAATCCCATAGTTGTTAGAAAAATGTGCTATTAACCCCGCCTAATGTTCTCATATTATTCGTGATTCCTCATACATATCCTTCATTTGATGCTTGAATATAAGCAATTTACACTCCCTTCTTCTTTTAAGGCTTTCCTAATACCAGTCTAAACAACTTCTTGGCTTATCATGTGCTCTCTTCGTAAATACTAAAAACGGGAAGCAATATTATTATTTATTCAATGGAAAAAGTGTCAGTTGTCAATCTTATACAATGATAATAAGTATTTGGTAGTACATATACCACTTATTAAGACCATTACTAACCAAGTTGGTTTTACATCTCACCGAACAACTAATTTACTACTAGAGGAGGAAAAATTGTAATGCCTCATCTACATATATCTACAAAAGAACGGGAATAAAAAACTATAATATCTGATTCACGAGTAACATAGGCTTAATTGAACCATAGTTAAGAATTAAACCTCGTGCTGGTGCAAAGATTGAGCTAACTCTAAGTTAAAAAATATTTACTTTTGACAAAACTTATAATATTGATAATAAAATTCCACAAAGCTCTCCAATTTTGTCAACTAGTGTTAAGAGTCCAAGACAAGTTATAGAATGAAAAAGAAGTGTGGGCTCAACAATTTTCCCTTAGGCCCACAAATTGAGAAGTTTATAATAGGTGAAATAGAAAAAACGTAGAAAAATCTTATGAGCTGGCAGAGAGAGAGCGAGAGAGGAAGAAAAAGATAGTTTCAGATTGTTTGGTTTGGTTTTTATATGGTGTAGGGAGGAGAGTAACGAGTATAGAATAGTATCTTTTGGGTTATTCAAGTGGAGCGTAATACTTCTCTATAGGAGTTGCACTCTGGGAAGTAGTGATTATTTTCTATTGATTTTCGTTTTCTTTATAATATTCATATAAGTTTTCCTTTTTCATTCTCTGGTTTTCTTTTTTGCATAATTGATGTTAGTTGAATCAGTTTTCTATCGAACTAGTCTGACCTGTTGATTACGGGTGAAGGAAAACAGCATTAAAAGGTAATTCTTAGAGTTGAATGTGGCACTAGAGAATGAGTTGGCGAGCATCAAGGTAACTGTAGCAGCTATACAAATCAAAACTGATGAGAAACAAGCTCAGCTCATAGTGTTCCTTACAAAGAACATCACCGAAGGAAAAGATGGGTCAGTGTTCAATGGACCCAAAAGCAAATGGACAACAAATGACAAAGCCGATGAGGTTAAGCAAATCGTTTGAAGAATTTTGCCAATCAATTTGCCAATCAATAAAGAAGATCCACAAGGTGGATTTCCCACACCAAGATTTACATTCGGGTGATGGAAATGAGTCCTGAAATCAAAAAGTCAACCTCGCACAACCATGCATGGAAGGACCCACAATTTATTTCTTTAAAATGAGAGTTATGGATGGATTGACAATGGTGATGTTTATGAACTCACTGCTATGTAGCAAAGGGGTAGTGTTGACGAATACATTGAAGATTTTGAAAGGTTGATAGATCAAGTTCATCACCTTCCAGATGCACAGTACTTTGGGTATTTCATCCATGGGTTACATTACATGAAGACGATCGTGCTAAAGTGCGTAGCATGTGCACTATGGGTCCTTTGTCTCACCCAAAGTTGATGAAACTAGCAGGAGCTATTAAGAATGAACTTGGGGGTCAATCCTGTGCGCAGTCAGAAACCAGACATTTTGGTGGAGTTTTGGGTCAGGTTATACAAACCAAAATGGGTCATCTAACCCAAGTAGCCCAAACACTATGGGCCGCAGTAATGGTCAAAGTGTCAATTGAAGATTATGCTATCAAAGCAACAATTGAAGATCATGCTATCAAAGAATCAAATGATGACGAGGGAGAAACTAATGTTCAATAAATTTTCCAATTTCAACCCTAGAATTCAGCCTCGAGGAAAAGGCTGAGAAGTAAGAGGACTGCAGTGTTAGAGTCCAAGACAAGTCACAAGAAAAAAAAAAAAGTGTGGGCTTAAAAACTCTCCCTTGAGCGCATAAATTAGAAGAAATATTTGAAGAGCCAGCAGAAAGAAAGAGAGGAAGAAAATGAGAGTTAGTTACAATTTGTTTGGTTTTTATATGGCGTAGGTAGGAGGAGTAAGGGATACTGAATAGTATCTTTTGGGTTATGAGTGGACAGTAATACCTCTCTATAGGAGTTGCGCCCTGAGTAGTAGTGATTATTTCCTACTGATTTTAACTATAAGTTTTCCTTTTTCATTCTCCTGTTTTCTTCTCTGCATAATTGTTGTTAGTTGATTCAGTTTTGTATCAACTAGTCAATTGCTTTACTAGAGTTTTGGCATGCATCTTTATGCCCAGTTAGAAAGAATATCACTGGTTGGCAAAATATATTTTTGGTTTAACCATCAGAAGCTTAATGATACCACAACAGGAAAATATCAGTGGTTTAAGAATACAATTGTTTTGCATTGAGTATCCTTTGAAACTCTACAAAATAATTCATCTACCCTGTACATTGTACATTCTCACAACATTATCAAACACATGAAGTTGCTAGATCCCCTCCAATATTCTCAGCAAACCGGCAATTTCATACTAAACAATCATCAGTTCTACTAAATTCGGATATGTTATAAATCTCTAGCATAACGAACTATTTTAAAAGCAATGTAACCAAGTTTATGTCACCCAGTTTTCCAACTTGAAATATGACTAATATTAAAACTTAAATATGAACAATTATTCAACTCATAAGCTCCATCATCTATGGGAAAATACTATTAAAATAACAAAATGAGGTTTCACTCTTCAACACTAGGGACAGAGCAAATAAAAAAAGAAGCTCTTTCTTGTTACCTTAGACGGGTATAAAGTATAAGGGTTGCATGGCAAGCATCTTTGCTACTTGATTCACCTGTGGCTTTATATTAACTGCCACAAGGCAAAAAAAACTCAAGCACTCTGCAGAGTGAGAAGAGATGGTAAACCAGAAGAAACACAAAATGCAGAAACTAGATTTTCAGATCACCCATTTTCATTCAATCAAAATCTAGGATACATATGAACAATCTCCGAAAGCACAGCTTGCAAAAGTTGCCCAAAACAATAACTAAATCATTAGATATTCAGATACTTACGTCTGTGCTACTCACATCGTGCATCCAATCAAATATTAATAGCTTCATCTCCTCAACAATCAATCTTGCAAATCACAAAATGTGTCCACCTGTAGAGAAGGAGGAGGTCACATTCTCCGTAGAAAACATAAGGAAAAAAAGAAATTGAGGAAGTCAAGGTGTTCCAACATACCTATGGTCAATTAATGACCAATGGAATGGTTGGTCCAAAGGAAGTTAGCAACAATACAGTTGTTCCACGCAAAACACACAATGGAAGTTAGATGGTTGCAAAGCTTTTAATGCCTTATCTTTTTAAAGAAACAATGCTCAGCCTGACTCAGCCTTATTCACAGATTTACTACATGCTAGGACAAAACCGCCCATAAAATTCGTTGAAGTCAAGACGGAAAAAGAGAAATTTTAGATCAACATGCTGCTGTACAGGCAACTGAGAAATGAATTCCTCTTGCAATGATGAATACTCCTTAGCAATTGCATCCAGATCTTGTTCCATATTTCGTAGAAATTCACCAGCTCGTTGTGTTAGAGCTTTCCTCCCATCAACAATCCAGGATCCTTGTTCAGCAGATTTATCATTCAGTTGCCTCTGTGATCGTGTTTTATTCTGGTCTCGAGAAGATAGGGAGGATTCAGTGATTCTGAAACAAACACATGGTCAAATGTCAGATGATGCAATATATTTTGTTTCCAGAGGTGAATAGACGAGGGAAGATTTACAAATGAAAAGTAAGATGAATACCTTGATTGCAACTCATGAATACCTTCATACAACCGATCTGCACGGCTCCGAAAACGTAATATAAGATCAAAAATAACAAGTAGTGACTTGTAAAGAGATTGGGAAAGGTCTCCAAGGAGAGATTTCTCTACAATAGAATGCAGATATTTCTCGTGAGCTGCAAGTAGATCATCTAGATCCTTGGCTACTTCCATCTCCGCCAAAAAATTTGACCATGATATCTCCAACACCTCAAACATTATATAATATTGCAAGTTTGAAATGAAGTGATTAATTTCAACCCAAAGAACCTGACAGCGCCTCAATGTTGAAACTAATTGCATCTTTACTGCATGTTGCAATCTGGTGAAAGAATTAGAAGTAATACAGTTTGGTTTCATGGTCTTCCAGGCACCAGTAAGCGCATGTTCCACTCTTTTAAGCTTCCACAGAAAATTAAAAATTCTTAAATACCTTGCCATCACAGACTCTGTGAACACTGTATCAAGTGGAACTCTTGCATCATATTCCAATGAAAATACATCCCAGCCCCTATCACCGCTCTCATGCGGCATCATTTTAACCCTGAGCCTGTCCAAAATCTCAGGATCATCATACTGAGCATTAGATGCCCTAATTGCAGTTTCCAGCAATCCCGAAAGTTTGAAAGAGCTAATAGTGTTAGCTGGCTCAGAAAGCTCAGGCCCAACAATATCCATCAGATACTGCACAAAATCACCTTGGCCAAGCAGTAAATATTGCTTAATTGCAAGACAGTGTTCTTTGAACTTATACCTCTTGAAAATCACATCTAACAAATGCTTGTCAATCCTTTTTGCAGCTTTATCCACCAAAAACTCAAGGGTATCCGTTTCCCCGTACCCAAAACCCCCTCTTCTTGCTGTCACTTCATTATCAGTGATAACCTCGGTGGCAGCATCCGCCCAACCGCGATCCTCACAACAAACGCGAAGAAAATTAATCGACTTGCCAGTCCTCAAGATCCTCTGAGCAAGTGAAGGCGGAATGAACGAAGGAAGCATCGCATCATGGAGCCTATAGCCTTCTCTCCATAGGGACTCAGCCTTAACAGGCTGCCCAACAATGAAAAACTCAGCAAATATATCCTCCAACTCCCCTTCCAAGACCCACCTCCTCACCATCTCAAACAGCGAAGAACACACTCTCTGCAGTAACCTCCTCATAAACTCATGAACCAACGGATCACCATGCTGCGCGTGCAAATGAATCGCCCCCGCCATAGCCCCGCCGCGCAAAACCCTACACTTCTCAACCAAATCCGCCATCAGCCTCATCTTCACCAAGGGTTCAGCCAACCAAACCGCCAATCTTCTCAACGAAAGATAGTTACCAGAACTCGCAGATTCGGAAACCAAAGGAATAGGGTTCGAAGCCTGAGCCTCAAGAACCGCCAACAATTTATAGTACTCACTAAACTCATCCTGCAAAGCGGAACAAAAAGCTTGCCCCACAGTTCCCACATCTTCATTGGGAAACCGATCCATACTCTGGGAAATGTAACCACTAACCTTCCTAAACAAAACACCCAATTCACAAAGGTTATGAACCATACTCCTAATGCCTCTCGGAACCCTAACCGATTCGGGTATCACATAACGCTTACTCTCGCTCTCGAATTTCACAAAACTACCATCGACTCCCTGGCAGGCATAGAGCACGTCCCTGACGATAACCTCTTCCAACACCTCGTTTTCTTCCCTGACCAAATTCACGAACTCGCGAAACGCAACGTCGCGGCGGTTGTCGGGATCCTTGGAGACAAGTAAAACGCCGTTGCTCCAGCCTTTGTTCGAAGCGGGTTCGGAGAAAGCGAGGTTGGGCAAGAGAGATGTGGTGGTGGCGGCGGCGGAGGCGGTTTTGTGGCGATCCTCAGAGATGATTTTGAGGAGGTAGATGACGGCCCATTTGTTGTTGACGCTTTGGGCTTTGGAGGCGAATTTGGAGAAGAGGTCGGCGAAGGAGAGGGCGTCGGAAGAGCGGGCGTGGGTGGCGAGGCGGCGCTTGATGGAGTCTGCGATGGCGGCTGCGTCCGGAGCGACGGAGGGAGTGAGGCGGCTGGAGAGGATGCGGAGGGCGTAGCGGAGGGAGTTGCGGAATTCGGGTGATTTAGGGTTTATCGGCGGGGAATTGGAGGGGAGGTTTTGAGAGAGCAAGCGATGGACTAGCTCCTTCACCAGATCTGGAAGCTTCTGCTGGTCTTCTTCTTCCTCCATCATTCTGCTTCGGCACCAACAAACTTTTTCCTTTTACTGTTAATTTTGTCGATGGAATGTGGAGTGAGAAAGAGAGAGTGGAAAATAGGAGTGGTTTTTTGATTTGTTATGGGCGCGGAAATGAAATGCAAACGCAAATGCAAAATCCTTTTGGCGTGAGGCCCTTTAATTTTTGAAAAGGCCTCTGAATCTCTCAAATCAACACTTGCAACGGTTGAATTGCAAATCTCCAATTCAATGTCAACTTTGCATCACCATTTTTCTGAGATTCAGTAACCATGAAATTAAGGGTTTCATTTTTCTCTTGCAATCAACAAATCAAGTGAAAAAAAAAAAAAAAAAACTTGGGATTCAATTTTGATTGGTTGAGACACGGAGTTTTCCTTTTTATACGGTTTGGTTTAGTTGGTGGTTAGATTATGTATGAATTTAATTTAAACAGACTCATGATGTAGACAAATTACACCATTATTTAATTATAAACAAATTATCTTGTATGTTCACTCTTTTCATTTAATTATTGGTTTTGAATTAAGTTCTAAATTGCAGTTACTCAAATGTTTAGAATATTATTTTTTGTGGTTAATCACATTATCCTTTTTTTTATTTTTCCAATTTTTTCATTTAATTTTTCTGTAGACATTTTGTTACTTTATATATATTGTTATTATTTACAATCAAGTGATCAAAATTCAGAGGAATGTTGTTCAAACGACACTAAATTTGCTCAAGCGACGTTATTACGTGTTATATGTACTTATAAAATTCAACATGTTGTGTCTTTATTAGCTTTTTATCAAATCATATATATGATTAATATGACAGTATGACAATCTAGCAACAATGCTTTTGGTTACATAATTTATGGACAACAGTATGACAATCTACAAAAATGGTCAACTATACAGTAATTAATTTAATATGAACTAAAAATATAATCTGTACTATGATTAATTTAATTATAATTGAAGAAACTTGGATTGTGAATTTTTTTTTTAAATTAAGATGTAAACTTAGTGATAATGGGGTGAGAATAGCATGGGCCAGGTTCCATGTCTTAAAATAGTTTTTTCCTTGCGTTTTGTTCTTATTTGTTGGATCCATTTGCTTTCATTCACATTTTCCTTTGAGGATTACTAGTAACCACTTGGGAATCATTTTCCTCTTGGATTCAACACAACATACAGAGGACAATCTTCAAAAACACTTGTCAAAGATTTTTATATTAACTCCTTTCGTAACTATTGTCGACTTTTTAAAAAATAAATTTATTTTAATTAATTTCTAAAAAAAACACAATATAAAAATCTTCAAAATTTTTTTTTTCAAAGTTAAAAATATGTTATCAAAATTATTTTTTCATTGATAAGCAACTAACCAAAAGTTTGTTTTCTTTTTTTTTCAATTTGCAGCGGAGAATATGGTTCATTTGATTTATTTTTTTAAACTTAAAAAATTGATGTCTATAATTTAATTAATATATATATATATATATATATATATATATAATATGTTATTATGTCAATCATTTTTATTCTGTATTTTTTATAGTGAATATACTTTCATATGTTGTTTGTATTTTTTTATAATATATTTTACTATCATTTTTTATTTTTTTCTTGTGAATTTTTTTTTTAAAGAATAATTTCCTATTTCCTTAGTCCTCGTTATAAAAAAATTTATAATTTTTCAGATAAAAAATAAAAATGTTAATTGTTTTGTTTAGTAATTTTTGATCATTTGATATTGGTGTATTTAGAAATTATAAAAAAAAACATTTATAAGTCTTCTTTTATATTAATTTGATAATAATTTGATTTATTTTTTATATTAATAGATTGACAAATAAATACTACTGTGTTTTTTATATTTCCCATATTATGAAATGTTAATTTAGTACAATAAAATTAATTAATTAAAAAGTAAACAAATATTATGTTGATTAAATCCAAAACTATTTTAACTAAGTTGATGTCTTAAGAGAATAATTTTATTAGTAATTAAATTTTCTAAATTAAAATTAAATATTAATTTAAATTATAATTTAAAAATCAATTTAGTGAAAATAAGTTATAACTTAATTAATATAATTAAACTTAAATAATCACCCTATTTCAAGTTTTATGGTTAAAGAAGATAAAGATAATATGATTAAGTTTTTATATATTTAATATCAGTATTAATATTGTAATAAAAGCATACTCAATTATTGAATAAATAAATGAATATAGTATTATATTAGTTTATAACTATTAAATCAGTCCTAAGATCCTTAATTTTATAAATATCTATAATTAAATATCAATGTACTTGTTGAAAATTGTTTTGATAAAATTAACAAACTTCTATTATGAAGTAACTCTCTTTGACTTAAAAAATGTCAATGTGACAAATAAATATCTAATGGATAAATTTTTTTGAAAACAAATAGCCTGAAACGTGGAAGTTTATGTAGACAATATGATTGTCAAATTTATTAAAAATGAAAAGCATATTTAAGATCTGAGAAAGGTGTTTCAAGTACTAAGAAAATTTAACATGCGTTTGAACATGAAGAAGTGAGTGCTCAGGGGAAAGGGAGAAAATTTATGGGGTTTATGCTCACTTATAAAGGATAGAGTCAATTTCGACAAGTGTCAACCATTATCGATATGATAAGTCTCAAGGACATCAAGGAGGTTCAAAGACTAGTCGAACAACCCACATCATTGACGTATTTTCTCCCAAGGCTAGTAGAAAAAGTGCGATCAATATTGAAGGTGATGGAAAAAAAAAACAAAAAAAAAATTGCATGAGATGATGTTGTTAAAGAAGCCTTCAGGAGGCTAAAATAATTATTTGTTTATCCCTCAATATTGCAAAAGTCGAGGTCGAGAAGTCCAATACACTTGTACTTGGTGCATAGGGAAGTCATAAGCGCAGTTCTCGTACAAGAGCACGAGAAAGAACAAAATTTCATATATTATATGAGTGAAGTGCTTCAAGATGCAAAAACATGATACCAACAAATTGAAAAAGTAGTTGTAGCTCTAGTCACTGCACCTTGACGTTTAAGACCATACTTCTAGAGCCATCAGATAATAGTTAGAAGTGATTACCCTATGGCCAAGGTGCTACGAAGCCAGAATTGGCTGTTTGGAATTACCTGGTCAATGGAGCTGTCAGAGCATAACATTCACTATGAACCATATGGACCCATTAAAGTGTAATACCTAACTGATTTTATAAACGAGATGACACTAATATCTTTGATTGAGAGCACATGGTGGACACTGTATGTGATGGTTCCTCTAACAGGAAATGGGGCAAGGCAAGTATCATCCTTAAAGGACTCGAAAACCTTATCCTTACACCTTCCCTTTTGTTCGATTTTAAGGCCAATAACAACCAAGTTGAGTACGAAGCACTCATAGTCGGTATTTAGTTGGGAAAGGAGATGGGGGTGGAGAAGATCAAGTGCATGAGTGATTCATAGTTAATGGTCGTGTATGTGTCCGAAATGTATCAAGTAAAAGATCCACAGTTGCTAAAATATTACCACCTGGAGGAAAGACTCTTGGTCGAGTTTGAGGAGGTAAGTATCGAACACATTCGAAGGAAAGAAATGTAAAGTTCAACATGTTATCCAAACTAACTAGTTGTAAGTCCAGTGGTTAACACAAGTCGATCATTCAACAAACGTTAACACAGTCATAGATCAAGGAAGTGTAGTGTAATGAAGCCGCCAAAGTTCTTCGAGCTGGTTACTATTGGTCGACGCTTCGTGCTGACTACCAAAGGTATGTGCAATGATGCAACAAATGTTAAACCCACGACCCTATGATACATGCACAACCTGAACAATTGAACTCGATCACGACCCCTTGGTCGTTTAAGTATGAGGTATGAACATAATTATCCCCTTTCCCTAGTGCAAGGTTAATGCAAGTTCCTCCTAGTGGCTATCCATTATTTTATAAAGTGGATAGAAACTGAGCCCCTTCCTAATATCACTACCCAACAAGTCCAACGTTTCACATAGAAGAACATAATGTGCATATTCGGGGTTCCTAACTCTACCATCACGAACACTGGTAAATAGTTCGTCAATAAGGGCTTAGTTGAGTTCTACTCAAGATTGTATATAACTCACAAAATGAGCTCTATCAAACATCCCTAAACTAATAGCCAAGCAGAGGCCACAAACAAGGTAGTTTTGCATGAATTGAAGGAAAGGCTAGGAATAATGAAAGAAAAGCGGACTGAGGAACTTCTAGAAGTTTTGTGAGCTTACCGTTGCAATCCTTAATCTACAACTGGTGAAACATCATACAACCTTACATATGGCATAATTGGCATGATACTGGTCGAGATAGGTAAAAGATCTTTGTGCCGAGAATTGTTCAATCAAGAAGAAAATGAGCAAAACATGAAAGTAGAATTAGACCTTGTAGAGGAGGGAAGAAGCCACACCGCAATCAAGAAGGTCAAATGTAAGCAAAGAATGACTCGAAAATATAATTCCAAGGTTCAATCGAGAAGTTTTCAACAAGGGAACATGGTACTTCAGGCAAGGGAAAGTGCAAGGAGAGACCCGACAGTGGGGAAATTTTCATATAACTAGGAAGACCCTTACAGAATAACGAAAACACTGGATAATGGTGCATATCGTCTAAAAGAACTAACTGACAAACCGATACCATGCACATGGCAGGCCTTGCTCCTCAAAATTTATTTTAGTTAAACTTGTATACGTTGTGCATACATGTATTCTCTTCTACCGATAGTATTCCTAAGGAGGGTTTTGATTGAGGAGTTTTTAACGAGGCATGATCTTTCATAAATAAAGCCCAACCATTTCGCTTATTACTAGCACCCCTTGGCCTAGGATTCACTCTTGAGTGATCCCTCCCGAAAACAACTTAGCTAAGGATGTTTTTTTCATTCACAAAACAATCCCTCCCTAACTCAAATAAAATTGAATAACTATAACACCGTTAAATAATATACTGGAAAACAAC